ATATATATATGCTAAAAATAGAACATTTTGTACAGTACTTAATGAAAGTTAATTCAATTAAATTCAACTTTATTTCTATTGCACTTTTCACAATATATTGCCTCAAAGCAGATTCACCAATTTTTTTTAAATGTTATCATTGTACATATAACTCACTATCTATCTATGAAATACATACACATTTATATATGTTTATATATTTTTCTGACCTAATGAAAGCTATTATAAAGCATTGTTCTGTCCCACACTATCCAAACACATTATTTAATATTTGTTACTCCATCAATTTTAACAATGCTATCAACTTTAGGCTACACTGCTTTATTGTTCTTATACAAGCATCACGCCTGCAGCTTCATATTGATTACATTGTGATGTCATGGTTTACTTTGCAGCTCAGCAGAGCATTGAGTAAACACACATCAGACTGTCTCCAGCAGATATTTACAACTGCATCTCATCAGTCAGGAGTGAGAACAGGCGACAGGGGGAGTTGAGAAAAACCACACATGATTTCAATCTGCCAGAGGTTCTCACACTCAGAAAAGAGCAGTCATGCATATTAGCAAGTCTGAGCAAACGTTTGATTCTGTACAAGTCTGCTTGCTGTCAGTTTGGCACTGACAACGCTTTATAATGACTTTCATTAAGCATTATATAATGCTAAAAAAGATATGTAGTTCATGCATATTCAAAGAAAAGTTAAGATAATGAAATGCAATGTCAGTAATCAAATGTAATAAAAAATTTAATAGATTATATAAAATTATACATATATATACACATACATATAAATAATACATTACATAACAAAAACAATTAATAATTTTACTATGGTACTGTATATGAATATGTATATGAAAAAAAGTTTAATTTCTAACAATTTGAATGTGCTTTAACTATCTCTTGAAATGCAATAATGTAATGCAACAGTTATAATGCAATACTGTTCATCAATGCCATTACTAGCAAAAACATGCTAAAACTATAATGGCACATGCCCAAAAACATGATTGTACCAATGCATTCTATTTGTCAAACATGTATTGTTTTGTATTGTACAACATGCAACTCAATTACAAAAAAAGCACCAGATATTACCATGTTTTTAGACATGCACCATGGTAATCTTTAAAGTAAAGTGTATATATCACTGAAAGTATTCAAGAAGTTATCTTTTTTATATTTAAAAGCAATTCTGTCACACTAACTTAAAAGACTGCTTGCACCAATGAAAATGAATTATTCAGGCACATGACTTCTTGGTCACACTTGCCATACAAGCTTAATGACAGAGCAATTCAGTTAACATCTGACAGACATAAGGTTCTTTCTTTAATAAGGGACTTTTCCTCTCTCAGTAGCGGTTAATTCAGGATGAAAAGTCCCCTTGGACAGAGACAAACCGCTTACAAGGGTTGTGGATAATGCTCCAATTATACACAGCCTGAGACACAGACACCATAACATGGCCAAGAGCAACAACTCTGGTTCCCGCTCTGTCGTCGCCTTTCCCTCTGGCAAGGTCAATAAAGCATGTCTTTTTTGGAAACCTAAAAATAATGCATTGCTGCTGCAACCGCAGATGCAAAGTCATGGCAGTGCGCTCTAGTGATCACAGAAGATACTGCATGCACAGAAGCTCCTTGTGAATTAGAAGCAGATGAATGAACCTCAAGGCTGTGCATATAGCGCCTCCTTGTGACATGCTTGAAAAGTCAAAGCTCAGGTTTGATCATTGTAATTCCTGCAGGGTTTTGCACTGAGCAAGGGTATGATGTGACAGTTTTTCTCAACCTTGGTCCATGCAGGAATGGATCAAAGAACACAGACGTGTTTCGTTGATCTTGACAGACAGATCAATAAACTCGAGATTAAAATGCACTAGCAGCTTTCCTGCAGCATATTCACAAAACACATTCACATCTGAAAGAGGATCTAAGCGTAGAGAAAGAACGCTCAGACATTGCATTACGCTCTTTCTAGATGTCATTTTTATCCTGAGGTCATGCTGAAACATCTATAATAGCCTTCATTAGACATTCCTCATCAACCACAGCAGCACACAGCACAAAAGAAGATATTATGAAGAATGGTGGTAACCAAACAGTTGACGGTAGCCATGGACTTCCATAGTATTTTGTCCATACCATGGAAGTCAATGGCTACTGTCAACAGTTCGGCTCCCAACGTGATTCAAAATGTCTTTTTTTGTGTTCAACAGAAGAAAGAAACTCATACAGGTTTGGAACAACTTGAAGGAGAGTAAAAGATTAGAGAATTTTCATTTTTGGGTGAACTATCCTGTTAAGTCACATTTAACCCTCTTGTTGTGTTCCGGTCATTTTGGCCTGAAGAGGATTTACTTTTTCTCGAAAATGCTAATGTTGTCGCATTGGACTAAAGCTACTTTAACAGCTTCCCCCCAAAAAAATCTTGGATAATTTTTTACTTATTTAGGATTTTTCCCCCCACCTTGTTACACTTGTGGTGTACCTGGTCAAAAAATATCCAGCCTACAAAAATTGCTTATAAATTTCTTATGCCGTATTATTACCAAATATTGGAATCAAGTCTTTTTATCAATTTGTTTTCGTTCAATTAGGACGGGGTTTATATTGATTTTTCGAACTGAATGATCAAAGAGCCCATTGATCTGAGCTTATCTCAGTTACTAAGAGAATATTTCCAAAATTATCCATAAATATTGCTTTTTTCACTCAAAAACTGAGGTGCCTATGCTCAGATCAGTGAGGCAAATGATCAATCAGTTCCAAAAAGATTTCCAGCACAGCACAAGGCTTAAAAGTGTCCCTGCGGAAGCTTTTCTCAGAATTTCCCCTTTTTGAGGCATTTTGCTTTTGCGACTAGTCTCCAGGTCATCTTTAGTGGTTGTATTCTAGACAGCCAGAAAGAGTCCAAATTCATTAAATGTATTAATTTTGAACCATTTATCAAGTTTAATAACTTTTTTTCATAACATGTTTTTATTCAATTTATCTAATTAAGTGACATTCAGGCATTTTTACTGTAGCTTAAGTGTCCAAATAATTTACGGCTGTGTCTTGTCAGGCTTGTGATTTTAGTTAAGAGAAAGAAATACAACCTACGATGTGGCTGAGCTTCTCAACACACAAGAATTTATGTGAAATGTATTTCAAATGTCTTAGGTTCTACAATTTTCCAGATAAATCTGTAGAAAAGAGCATCTTGACTCTAACAAGACCCCTTAGTGGAAACAAAATCAATGTTTAATGGACGGGGAATATAAAATGTATGCGACAATGTTTCCATGATGGACCAAAGGCTTAAAACCACAAGGACGAGACCGTGTGATGCATTTCCCAATTAAATGGAGCAATTCAACAAGAAAAATACGAAGGACTTTAGGACTAGAATTTATCCATAACGATTAAAATCATAAAAACTGTCTCTATGCACTTATGAACAGATCACAAAAACACCAGAAAAAGTGCATTAAAGGGTTAATTCACCAAAAAAAAAAAATCTGTCATCATTCACTCGCTCTGTCATTTAAACCCATACAACTTTATATACTCTTCAAAACACGTTATGATATTTTGAAACCTGAGAGCTTTCTGTCCCGCCAATGAAAGTCCAAAACTTAACCATTTAGCATTCCTGTAAAATGTGTCTAAAACACTTAAAAAAAAGGCAAACCCAAATTAAATTGCATGCTGTTCTTGAACCATTTGGAGTATGTGCATGGTTTTCGGTATCTTTCAAAAGGTGACACTCTGAGGTATGTTCCTAAACAGAACAACCCTCAGAATCACTGCAAGTCTTACTGGTATTGAGTAATAGAACTTTGAACCCACTGAAAAAGAAAAAAAAAAAACATTCTGCCAAAATTTTTTTTGAAACAGATGCCTGCAGATGACTATAGCTGGGAACTATTAGCTGGAAAACACAACGGGATCACAGCATGAAGCCTTGTCGGTGGTCTGACAAAGACACTGATTGCACCTGCTGTGTTGATTGTCTCTTAAAATGGTCTTTTGATTCACAAAAATCTCAGCTTTCCAAAGATGTGTGACATGTTTAGCTTTTTTTTTTTTTTTTGAGTTGTATGTCACGAAGTTAACCCTCAAAAACACACGGTGGACTGCGGGCGGTACAGTGTTCCACTAACAGTTTGAAAGATACAAAAAGGTCATAAAGGCATCATCCAGTGAATCCATTTGAATTGAGCAGTTTATTCAAAGTCTCGTGAAGAGACACGATCACTTTATGTGATGAACAGATTTAATTCAGGCTTTTTAATTTAGGGTTAACCAAAGTCTCAAGGGTTTGGAATGACATAAGGGTGAAGGTAAAGGAGTAAACATTTATTTTTGAAAGAAAGAAAAATGGTTAATGATGTTGATTTAAAACAAGATATTTTCATTACAGATAGTCAATCGACCACAAATAGCGACTACACAAATGTAGTTAGATGTACATTTAACAAGACAAAAAAAAAACATACGGCAAGAGATGTGCAAAATATGCACCAACAACATGTCACTGGTGTGTTACTCTCAAAGACTTTATCTAATATCCAATATTATGAACATTAGTACCTTAAAAGTACATACTAGTAGGGGTAGATAAGGTATAAAGGCATATACTGAGGGTTCTGTATGTATGTACTTGTAGTACGACAAACTAAATGTGGTGTAGTTAAAAAAAAAATTATATTAATTCCATAAATACTCCAAGTAACCCTGCAAAAAATAACAAGAGTAAGAACCGAGTGTGTTCCACAATGTTTGTTTTATTATTCTGAACATAGCCCCGGTGTCACAAATTCAACTTAACTTGATTATATGTCTTTAAAAAAAAAAGTACTAACAAAAATGAACAGGGAGGAGAAAAAAAATGTTTCTTATGTGCATTACAGGGTGATTCATCTGTGGATCTGAAAATGTCAAGACCACATATATTAATTTGCACAATAACTGCCTATTAGTTTTCGCTAATAAAGACTTCAATAAAAAGGCTATAGCCAACCGAAGCATAAATAAAGAACAGCACAACAAACCCCCACCATTCACTGGAATTACAATTTAATTCAATGATTAAGTTAGAGTTCCTAAGGATTATAACAGTGGTTCTAATAATATAATTTCTGAAGTACTAGATGGTGGCGTAATGAAAGCTACTTAACAGCATGCTGTCGCAGTTACAGGTGGAGTCATAAAGCACTGTGGTTAAGCAAGGGCAAGTACACAGCAAATCCTTACCATTGACACAATCAGTGATTCCTACTGAAAACACCCTACCTCAAACTCACTTTTGAAATGATTTTCACAGTACGTCACCTTACGAAGTGTGTAAAATCTTCAAACGCATCAGAGAAACTTATGTAATGAGCGATTTAAATGTTAAGGATCACAACAACACACACTTATGTTCAGTAACATTGCAGTGATATGAGATCAATGTGAGCGTTTACTGGTAGGACTGATGTATAAAATGAATCTATCACTGTAAAACTAAGGCGGTGTCATTCAAATGATGCAAAACAGCGAGTCGGACACTCTCCGAATGCCGTCCCTGAATGGCAAGGGTTTGCGGTTTTATTCGTACAATAACATCTCAGCATATTTCTGCGGCGTGTGATGGACTCGTATACAAACGGAGTCTGATAGCAGGTTGGAGAGTCATATTTTAATGCACCCGACAGATGCTTGTGCACGGTTTGATTTCGGAACAGAACAGAGCATACGTTTACAACGCGCTGAAACACACTGCGATTGTGTCAAATACAGACATTAAAAACTAAAAACGAAACAGAAGAGAAAGTTCAGAACCACTCCCACTCCTTTTGCGATACTAGCAGACTACAGGCACACTTTTAGGACCCTTAACGTTATTGTCAGTGAGGGGTTCAGATACACACACAAAAAAAAGTTCAGTTAACTTACAATTTAAGTTTTTTTTTTTCTCTTATTTTTATTAATAAGCATGCCGTTGTATATGCATCCTATATTTTTTTTTGGTGTCCTGTTACTTTAACTTAAAACGAACAGATCTGTATAAACCTCACCTAGCATGCCTTCTTTTCTGCGTCTATGCTGGCTGGATTCAGTTCATCATCATAAAGCTTGTGGTCGATGTAAATGTTACTGGAAGAGAGAGATTTGTGCACTCTTAACTTTAAAACAGAATTGAACATGGTGCCACACAATATAAGCGTTTTGCTTTCTTTGTTTCTCAAGCTAAACTATTAGAAATGTCCAATCGTGCTCCCGCAGAGGAGACTGTTTGAGTGTGGAGTGAGCAAAATTTGTTTCGTTTTTTCTTTTTCTGACGATTTACAAGACATTTCTAAGAGAGTAAGGTTTAAGACAGAGGGTCATAACAATCATTTACAATTAATTACTGTATGCCTGTCCTTCCGGTGGTTGAGGAAGCTTCATATTCTCTTTGGACATCATAAGACGCCTTAGCTCTTGAAGAACGACTTTAATGCTATATGAGTTTTGCCATTTTGCTAGAATTGGTATGCTACGTGCATCCACCTGAAACAAAAGAAGAGAGAGAAAGAAAGGGAGGGGAAATGCGGAAATGAGTAACATGATTTAAGTTACAGCCGCACACGTCATTAAACACTGCAAGAGTCCATTTGCATTGCACTGATGTCACAAAATTAATTAAAGAATATACAGGATGTAATAAAGAAATGTTTTGGGTTTTATACAAGCTAAACTCTGTCAACAGCATTTGTGGAATAATTTCAATTCATTCCTCAGTTATTAAAATGAAAATACGGTAGATACTAATTTTAACCCTTGTGCGGTTTTGATTTTTTTTCCCCGAAATATAATTTGGTGTTCCCGGTGAAAAATGGCCAGCCTTTAAAAAAAAACTAACAGTAAATCTCTCATTATGCTATATTATCGTCAAATCTTGGATTCAGTCTTTGTTAAACTGAGGTACATGAGCACAGATCAATGAGGCATACGATCAATCAGTTTTCAAAAGAAATACAAAACCCGCGCTAATTGAAAGAAAGCAATTTGATAAAAAGATTTAATCCAATATTTGGTAATAATATAGCATGGTGAGAAATTAAGCAAAGCACGTCATTTTTGACCAGGAACACCACAAGGGTAACAAAGTGGGGGGGAAACATTATCAAAAAAAATTTGGTGGAAGTTGTTATTCCCTGTGTGAGCAAAGTCAGTACATTTTAGTCCAATGCAATAATATTAGCATTTTCTGGGGGGTGCACTTGGGTGCCGGGTGGGGGGAGGGGATCATTCACAACATGAGGGTTAATAGTATAGCCATTATACTTGTTGGTAAAAACTCATTATTATATTGGTAACGCATAATCAAAAGCTCATCTGGCTAGAAAACCAGTCCCACTTCAAATAAAAAATAAATAAATAAATAAATTTTTTTAGACTAGCTTGGTTAACTCACAAAGGCAGTGTTACTGCCAGGGTGATTTTTGCATATAAACTGAGGGATGAGTCAAAACTACTTTCTGTGCAAATCAAATTATGCCACAAATGCCGTCGACAGCTAAACTTGAACCCGGTACACCTCAACGAGATTTTCTTACATGCCAACTAGCTAAAAAGCACAAAAACATTAAAAAGCTTAAACTAGAAAAGTCAATTAAAGTGGGTGCAAATAATATTTCTGTAGCAGTATTCCACTTAGCAAAATGTGTCACAAGAGTGCTGTGGCATCAGTATGACTGCTATATAAAAATGTACTAAATAGACCTCAATTTCCAGATGTGCCAGATACTTGTGCTTTATAATCATTACTGTAGTTTAAGGTAAGATGTGTCATTTAATCTAGAGACAGAATCTTTATTGTGCACAGGGTGACAATCTTCAGTCTGAACATGGGGTAAGATGTGTCACTGCAGCATATTTTTGAGAAGTCATATTACAAAAGCTTCCTTCTCATTTTAGTTGAAAGCAGACATCGTTATATATAATTAGCTGTATGTTTTACTTGTCTAAAGGTCAATTTAATATTGAATTTAAAGCACAGCTTATATTTCCTCCTACTTGCTTCAACAAATTAGCTTGTAAAATGTCTAGGATTTAGTTAATCTTAAACCAATTTATTTCTACTAGGCAAACAGCACAAAGACTTAGATTCTATATCCAACAGAAAACAGACTATTTCGTCCAACCATTTAGAAAAACGGACACAAATGAGAATTCAATGCAACAACCCTCTGAGGTGTAATAAAGCAATTCGTTTACTATGGCTCCTTTTCTATTCTGTATCCAGCTGAATCTCATTAGATGTGTTTGAGATTCATTATTGGTTCTGCTTAGGCACAGTGAAAAACGTCCCTCCTCTGCAGTACTGATGTGACTCGAGTGCCTCTGTGTTCTGCATCGCTATGAAAAACTGCCATGTCACACATTTCTAACAGTTTGCAGCTAAATTATCTCTAATACAACAGACAATACTTTGTTAAAATAACAATCAAAATAGTCATTTATAAAATTGATTCAACTTACCATCCCATTGGAATTATTTATTCCATTCATGCTGACGAAAATTTTTAGAACCATTAAAATTATTTGCACATTATTTTCATACCAATTCAGTATATTTTTACACCAAAAATGTACTGCAGTTTGGAAGAAAAAAACTCATTCTCTTCATGCCTGGACGCAATGAATTTTGTTTTATTACAAACAGCATAAATTAGATTTATAATGAAAGTGCTTAACTGTCATGACAATTGTGTCATTGCAAATGGTCATAAAAATAGGCTTTATTATCTTTATGCAAAATATAATTTCAGTAATTTTCAGGGTGAAATATGACCTAGGTTTCATGGTAGCTTTCAGTTGACCCATTAAGCAAATGAAACAAAATCACAATTTATCCTGAAGACCTCTGAGAGGTCCATATTTCCAGACCAATTCAGAATCAGTTGCCAATTGGAACAAGTACATAAATAACCGAAGTATGTTTCTGCTGCAGCACTGCTTTCATAGCATTCATCTTTATCTTTAATCTACACCACCAGCGGTCATGTGTCAGCCTGGATGGCATGTTGTTTACTGGTGCCCAAGGCTTCCAGTCACGCTATAAAATAATGTAAATGCAAAAAAAAAAAAAAAGATTGATTTCTAAACACTTCACTTGGAGAATGTAATACTTTCTTCAGATGAGTCATCAGTGTTGTCACTGAACTGCTACATTAAACATAATTAAACAGCAATCATACTCGTGCAGGTCCGATGATCATGCCTGTCCACCGTGTGAGAGTCATATCCTCGTCATCCTCCAGACCCCAGCTCACCGTCCCATCACCGACACCCTTCTGTCCTTCCTCAAGCTCTTCCAACAAGCGAAAATTACGAGGGACTTTAACTCCTGCAAGAACCCAAAGACGATTCATGAACAATTAAAAACGGTGTCTCTGTAAACCTTTGTTTGCAGCTGGTTAGTTCATATTTGACATGTTTAAAATAGTTTTAGATGAAGTATAATTTTTATAAAAGCCATTTTTATCCGAGTCGAGTTCATATTAATCGAGTGACTTCATGCAATATTATTTATACTCTTAAAAATTTATGTCACACCGCAAAATATACACTTTTCCTTTCCTTATGCATTTATTATTAAATTTATGTCAAAAGTGTTCATCATTCAATTTCCTTCAGGGTTCCCACACCATTTGATCAATGAATCTCCGTTATTAAATTTTAAATATTTAAGAGCAGAGCATAGCTAGAAAAATGTATATTCACTGTAGAAAGATTTTCGATTTTATTTATTTCCATGACTCTTTCCTGGAAATCCCAATTATAAAATCTCAATTTTATTTTCCAGTTTTTCCATGCCAATGTGAACTCTGTTCACTGTACTAGTACAATAATAGCATGGCAAATGAACAGAATTAAACTGAAAAGATTCCTAATAATTAACATCTAATTTCACAATGATCCCAGAGTTTGTATATGTTCACAAACATTTCAGAGAGTTGCATATTTTATTTAATTGCGTTTCCTTTTTTTTTGTGGATGTGCAAAACCTATTATTTGAGGTACATTTTAATGCTTAATTTAAACATTATTTCATATGAAACCAACACCAGCTACTCTTTTTTTGTGAATGTGAAAAACCTCTTAAGATACAATTTAAATTTAAATACTCAACCAAGACAAAAATGATAACATATGCACATTTAAGTGGATCACACCTATAAGATGAAAACACAAAATCTGTGCGGTTTCAAATGTGAAATGTTAGTAATCTGTGCATTTCAACACTGAGTTTCGCCTAGCATTTTCAGAGATACTCCACTGCTGAAAAAGCGGAGGGACAAGATTCGCAAGTGCAGGTGAGCCTCTAAAGGATTTGTCAATGATTCCGGAAATGACACCCATGTTGCTCTATCATTGTTTCTCACTTCCTCAAAATCTCAAGACAATCACGACATGCACGAGTCTGAACAACTCAATACATTTCTGATGAAAGATCTGCTGTTGCATCTGACCTCATGTAAACATTTAAGATATTATGCAAACATACACACTCCTAAATTTCATTGACATATATCTGATTCTAGATGTGCAAATTTCCAAATTGGCCTGTGTAAATGTAAAGATCTAATCTTATGATCTATGAGTTTTAACATGTTAAAAATACAATGCTGTTCTTTATATATATATATATATATATAAACTCTTAAGTGTCATTTGATCTGAACATACACGATCTTACACTGCTGTAATATGAAGCTACAGACAACATTAAATAATTACAATGAATTAAAAAAAAATTTGTATAAGCCTAATGGGTTTGAAAGTCTCCTTGAGTGTATATGTATAATAAATCAACACGGAATAAACGTTATTCTGTTATAAAAATGGCTTTATACTTAAATGAGTGTTGTTATGCACCTACATTATCTATTTTACACAATCACAACGCACTTCTCCTAAGATGTATTATCTTTAAGAGGTTTAAATGACTCTGTGAGGGAGTAATAACCTGCTCAGATGCTATTATGAGACAAACAACAGTTACAGGCCCGTTTGTCATGACACTGGACGGAACCAGCAGCAGCAGCACGCGCGTCAATGCTCCGCCTCGCCTCACATTTTGCACCGATGCACCCGCCCAACTGCAATATTCTGCATTTAATCTATACCTTACTACTATATAAGAGCATAATTATATCTGAAGTGTTTCTATAATATTTATTAGCTGATAATAAAAAATAAATACGATGTTATTTTTAAAGTAAATGTCTATGTGAGGGCCGTTAGCTCGATGCTAACACACACACAGTTCAAACTGCACACAGATGTGATAAGTGAAGTAAATGAAGGCGTCTGATAACGGGAAACCTCTCGGATAATCTATATAGGGTCGTGAGGCACGGGCTTGGCGCTTCTGTTGTTAAAATACTGCCGCGGAGGACCGCGAGGATTGAAGAGATTGTGAGACAAACCTGAGGAGGCCGCCATCTTCTCCTGTCCGAATCCAGAAAGCGTGACGTCGACGCGTCATGTGACTAATGTCTGTAGGAAGAGAGGGAGGGGCGTGGCTCCACTGCAAAATTATTAATATATAATTACACTTGAGCCTAACAAAACAATCTTTTTTTTTACAATATCACATTTAAGGAATTCCGTTAAAGTCAGCATGAAATCAAAATTGACTTTATTTACTTTACTAGCGCACATTGCTAGTCTTGATGTAAACAATTAATCCGTGCAAGTTAAGCCAAAAAATAGTTTGTCTTCGTAATCTTTAACGGGGTCATATGATGCTTTTTAAAAGATCATTATTTGGTGTATTTGGTGTAACAGAATATGCTGACATGCTTTAATGTTCAAAAAACACATTATTTTTCAAATACTGTACATTATTGTAGGTCCTCTATGCCCCGCCTCTCTCA